ATCTAACAATTGGGGTTTTTCCCTACGATTACCCAAATCAACCGTACATAAACCCATAAACAAAGGTAAATCGAGTAATAGCCCCCCTTACCTTATCAATTAGCAGCTTGAGTTCTTGAGCGATGTTCTTCGTTCTTCTCACCTTCAGAGCTCTATTTCCCCAATAACTCCCAAATCTGTGTTATCGTGAATAATGAGAAAAATAACTTGAGTTCCAAAACATAACTTTACTTCTTTTTCACCCCCACTCTTTACTATCAACATCCAAGCCCAATAACTTAAAAACTCTGCATTTTCTTATTTCTTTTATTTTCCTCCATATTTCAAAATAAATAATTCCTTTTTATTTTATTAATTCTAATAAAATAATTTTCCCAAATTTAAATAAATCAAATAATTGAACTGGGGTGTTACAAGCTCCCGCACAAATAAGTTTATTTGATATTGTATATATGATTTGTTTAGATATGCATGTAAATATTGAATAATAATTGTAATTGTGTAAAGAGCAATGATACATATACGTCTACATGAGTTAAAATAATTTTGTATGGTATATTTGTACTCAAATCACATTGAAAATAATATTTATATATGTCTTTTTTATTTGAATCTAATTGATTGTGTCCCATGACACTTAATGATATTATTAAATCAGATAAAAAATTCTTATTTCAAAAAATTTTAAAAATAGATTATTTGATACTTTTGGTAATAATGGTAACAATGATTGAGTACATGATAAAAACAATAAAATTATAAAGGTGGGGTCTATACTACCCATTATAAAGATGAAATTAATACCAATAATATTGTTGACTATTTACTATATGGTGTGATTATAACAAAATATAAATTAATTTCACATATATCTATGTTGTAGACATTTTTTTATCAAAGTTAATGTTTTGAAAAAACTCAAACGACAACCTATTGTTTTTTGGTACTGTAAGTGCAAAACTAACTGTTATGTAGTGACACAAACATTGCCACACCTTGAGTCCAAAGCACCACGACCAAACACCATGAAGGAGGTACCAAAGTACTATATGGTCAAATGACCACACACCCTAAGAAATTTAGTCATGTTTGGAACAATAACTTCTTCATAGTGAACTATTATGCTCTGATTGAAATGTTAAAACAACGGTAAATAAATTTAAACATTTTCGTACAATTAGTAGTATGAATGTATCACCATCTTAGATGGGTTTACAATAGGTTGGATGTTTCATTAATAAAGCCAACACAGTAAGAATATAATGCTAGTTGTGTGTCTTATTGCTAGTTCTTTAGCGAAAGTGTTTAAAATACTACCACACCAAGATTTTATTCACATATCAATCCATGTTCTATATTTCTAAATTCAAATCCATACTAAAAATAGGAAAACTGAACTAATTTTATAGAACCACAAATCATACAAATATGCAACAATATCCAATAACAGGCTTAACTACAATAAACATGACAGAAAATTATTGAAGATTTAAATTTTAAAGTGTCAAAGTAAATACTGTAACTTCAAGTGGGAAGGTTAACAGAGGTAGTAGTATTAGAGAACTGAAAGTTACTGTCAGGTAGATTCAAATATTGTCATCTCTGAATCAATTTTAGTTTGATTTTAATTTTTTGTCGTTAAATACCATACATTGAATTATATGTTATTGTTTGTATTTATATCGTTTTCTTGTTCATATGTATTAATATCAATTATAGTCATTAATATTTAGTAAACAAGTTATTATATTTAGTATCATGATATGTTTTGAAAGAAAATTCACACCGCTTGTCATCAACTTAAGTTTATAGGACAACTTTAGTTCTTAAAGTAATGATATCCAATTTTAAGTAATGAAGATTAAATTAACACATTTAACAACAAATAAAGTTTGACACAAATTTCATCTAGTACTTGATTATGCGGTGGTTAAAAATATTGTTGCAATTGGCATAAGAAAATACACATTGGTCATCATAATATATTTTGTCTGGGCATTATGAAGGTAAGAAAGATACATAAGAAAGGACATCTGGACGTGAAGTCTGCATTTTTAAACGGTCCATTACAGGAAGAAGTTTATGTGTCACAACCTTCTGGATTTGTGAAAAAGAATCAGGAAGGGATGGTATACAGGTTGAATAAAGCTCTGTATGGACTGAAGCAAATTAAAAACACATTGTTCCAGTTTTTGCCATTAAAAACTGGAAGTTTGGTGTTCAAATACTGTCTCCACTCATTTTAAACCTTGCACGAATTTTTCAGATCTTCAAACACACTCTTTCCCAATCCACAGAATCGAATTCTGTTCAGATTTTTTGTTCAAGATTTCAACAGGAAAAAAAAATCAATGAACCAAAATCAAACACACAGCTCACAATCACTCGTGTTTCCCAGGAAAACAGAACCAAGTGCTATTGATAACAATTTGTTGGTGCAAGGTAATGAAAGGAGAGAAGAAGAATGAGCAATGAATGATAACAAAGAGGACTACTATTGTATATCAAATAGAGGAATGAATGAGTTACAATATTGATAGCCTAGGATAACATATTTATACTAAAATTGAAAATGCCAAAAGGCCTTGTTAAAGAATAAGCATTGAGAATTGTAGACATTAACTAAATTATATTTCCAATAGTTGAATTGTGTATAGTGAATTCTTTTTCACTTCTGAAAATAATTTGAGAATCTAATCAAGTTCAGATTATGATCATAGAGAGGTTAGCAGCAGAATGAATCAAATTCAGAAGCAATAAGTAAATCAACATACAGAATTATCCTGGTTCCTCCCACAATCTGAGAGTAGTTCAATCCCCTTGTCCAACAAGAGATTTTTCACTATAATCAATCAAATTAAACTTGCTCAAGCAAGCTAGAAAAAGACTCCCACTGCTCATTCACACTTGAAAGATACTTCTACTCAAGCACACATGCAAGAGGTTTCCATTGCTCAAGCAAACTAGCAAGAGACTTCACTGCTCAAGCAAACTAGTAAGAGACTTCTTATACTTTAAACAAATAGTTTAGGAGAGTAAATAACAACTACACTTGATAAAATATTAGAAGTATAGAAGTAATACAACACACACATATTCTTAAACACTTAAGGTTTATAATATATATACAAGGATAAGAAATCTCAGGTTCTTGTGCAGAAAATAACTTTAACTCAAAATATGTCCAGTGTTGTTATTGTTAGATGGTTAGTTATTTTCCTTCAAATCTTCAACTCCTTATATAGAGGCAGAAAAAGAGACGTTGGAGGAAACTTGTACACGTGAACATAGTTGAGAAGCAGTTTCAAGAGAGACGTTGGAAGTTTACTTATTAAGATCTTTATTCTCTATGTAATAGCTTTAACCAGGGTGCATTTCTTTATACTAGGTGTCTACCAATATAAGGGGGTAGACTTAAGAGGTCATGTCAACTTTCCTTGAGTCTTGCATTTCAGAAACTCTAGTTGACTTTGTCTCAAAATATGATTTTGACAATATGGTTCTGCTTTAGAGACAAAGTATGGACCAGAAGCTGAGTACCTTTATCCTAGGTCTTTAGAATCTGAGTTGTCACCATAAGTAGAGATACCAAGTTCTGAGTCACCAAAGTTGGAATCTTCAAAATCTGAGATCTTTAGCTTCTCTTCATAAGCTCTTTATCAGGGTAAGAACCAAGTTAAATTTTAAGCTTATGATCATGCACACTTAAACAAATGTTAGTATACCCAATTGTTCTTTAAATACTTTTTTTATCATCGAAATCCAAGGGATATGAACAATTTTGTTCCAACAATCTCCCCTTTTTTTATGATGACAAACAAATGTATTTAAGAATAATGGTTAGTTAGTTTAACTAACTTGACAACATCGGAGTCTAAGGTTTGTAAGCTCCCCCTAAGTCTAATAGTCCAAAGGTTGAATTTTGTAAGTTCCCCTTAAATTCTACCCAAGTTATTCAAACTTATTATGATGGCATAAATAATTTTCAGATTAAGGAAAGTTTTTGTACTCGGTTCAGGTACATATAAAAGCATTCAAAGTGATTTTATCCTCTTTAAATACTTCCATTTTCTCCCTCTTTTGTCATAAAAAAACAGGATAGAGAGAGAGAGAGAGAGAGAGAGAGAGAGAGAGAGAGAGAGAGAGAGAGAGAGAGAGAGAGAGATAGAGAGAGAGAATACTGAAGATAACAAAATATTTTAAGAGTAAAATCAGTTCAGAGGAAAACAACAAAGGGACCATGAAACCTGTTGATGGATAAACATGCAAACCACAATTTTCAAGATGGTTAAAGTGAGATTATGACAACATAGCATAGGGAACAAGACCCGAGGAGCATAGACTTAAAGGTTGATTGATCTTTACCTAAAACACATTTGTTGGAGTCTCTATACAAGGCAAAACCTTAGAGACAACAATGAGAAAGCTCAAGAAGAAGAAGGATTCATAAGATGATGATGTTGATGAAGATTGGGTGGCTTATGTAGATAAACTAATGAACAACGCTGAAAGTACCACTGAAAGTTCCAGTTCTCTTTGAAATAAATATGTAATAGTCTTAAGATTTAGATCATGTATTGTCAGTTTAAGGAATAACACTCTTTCCATTTATATGCTTCTCTTTCCATTTACTCACTTTGACTAATCCATCAAGTTTGTAAAAATGCTTAACAACCAACCAGTTTAGCCGAAACAAAAGGAAATAAGCAATAAAAATAAAAGACAAGAAACATAAGAGATAAGTAGAAACAAAATAACTTTCATTGAAAGAGAAATAAGGTTCACAAAAATAAAAAATTACAAGAGAAAACAGTAGAGGAAGAGGAAGATTCATCCAAAGAGACAATATTGACCTTATAAAGGTCAATATCCCATGCTTTCAGAACTTCTGGTAGCTTTAGCTTATCACCCTAGGTTTGTGAAGTAACCTCAACCATAGATTTTTGCACTCCTTGTTGAATGAAGAGTTCAGAAAGAACCCTCTCATAAGGAATGAAAGATCAATTTCCTTTTTGAAAGGATAAGAGAGTCATCTTCAGATATTCAAACATAAGATGAGGAAGGTTGATCTTCAAATCTAAGTTGAGAAGAAGAAGAAAATCCCTTTCATCAACATCTAAAGAGTCTATATTCTTGTTCTTTGGAAAAAAAATTTGAGGCCAGAATTTGATACCAAACTAGTGCCATGGAATTAATATTAGAAGCTTTAGACAGGTCTGACAAATCATCAAAAATAAGGTCCAAAGGAAAATAGTGTTCCCTAAACATCATACCTGGAGTAACATCTTCATCCTCACAGGTTATTTAATTAGCAATAGTGGTTGAGGTGATGGTGATAGGGACACCAGATACTTCATAAAGGATGTCACACTCTAGATTTAGCTCTTGGACATATGCATTTACCCAGAATTCTTTGACCAGATTAGGGTAAGTAGAACAGTAGAACATATCAAAGAGACCATATCTTCCTTTTTTAGAAACAACACTTTGAAGATCAAATCCTTGAGCCATCATTTCTTCAAAGGCAACAAGACCTTCAATGATAACTATTAATTGGTTATCCATACCAAAGTCATTTCATGAAGTTATCTTAGGTAAGGATTTTCACAAAGGAGAGTTTTTGAAAAAGAAAGCAGCAACAGTGTAAAATTGTTTTACAAGAAAAGAAGTTCTCAAAGATATAGACAAGTGTATTGTCAGAAAGGTGCAAGACAACTACCTTTTCTTTAAGGTTGCTCAAGAACAATCTTTAAGAGAACCAAAATAGTCCAAAAGTACAAAGTTAAGAAAAATTAAAGAAACTGATCTTAAAAAACAAGAATGATAGAGACTATACAAAGATATCAGAAGTGGTGACATAGAAGGATATACATAGAAAATTAAAGAGGTTTCACATCATTACCCAACAGACTTTACCCATTCAGCTACTACGCATGCAAGACAATCATAAAATGCATGGAATTTTAAGTAAGAAAGGTGTCATAAAAAGACAAAAAGTTTTCCACTTAAATGCTATCAGAAGCAAATAATCCACTTATGATTCTTAGTCTAAAGTCGTTCAGGAGCCACTTTTCATCAGAGGTAGTTTCCCAGACTCTGACCAAAGCTACTTTTAATCAACATCAGATTGTGATACTCTATTTAGAGACAAGCACTATTATTTAATAAATACCATGTTCAAATTATTTTTTATAAAATCAAATCTTTCAACGGCTAAGGGTTTGGTAAATATGTCAATTCATTGATGATCAATATCAATTAATTGAATATCTATTACACCCTTCTGAACATAATCTCTAATAAAATGATATTTTATTTCAATTTGCTTGGTTCTAGAATGTTGAACTGGATTTTTTGTTAGACAAATAGAAGTAGTATTATCACAAAAAATAAGAGTATTGTTTCCAAAAATCTGATAATCCTCTAAATGTTATTTCATCAAGAGTAGTTATGTACAATATTTAGCAGCTGGGATGTATTCTCCTTTTGCTGTAGACAGAGAAATATTTACTTGTCTCTTACTAGCTCAGGATATTAGGTTTTCATCTATGAATTGACAGTTTCCACTACTGGATTTTCTCTCAATTCTATCCCCAGCATAGTCAGCATCACAAAATCTAACTAGCTTATAATCTAGGGATTTTTTATAAAGAAGTACCTGATTTGTTGTTTGTTGTACTCCAAAATTTACCCTCTCATTTTTCCCAAAGTCTTCCCCCTGCATGGTTGATCACAAACTCTTGCCTAAGGAAAAGGAAAATTTTTGAGTGGTGCTTTACGTACATTTCGATTGGCATTCTGAAAGACCCTTCGATTGGTATTCTGAAGGAGCCTTTCGATTGGCATTCTGTCAAGCTCTTCGATTGGCATTGTGGACAAGTACTTCGATTGGCATTCTGAAAGACCTTTCGATTGTCATTCTGTAAGACCCTTCGATTGGCATTCTGAAGGAGCACTTCGATTGGCATTCTGAAAGACCTTTTGATTGTCATTCTGAAAGACCCTTCGATTGGCATTCTGAAGGAACATTTTGATTGGCATTATGGACGAGCACTTCGATTGGCATGCCAAGGGAACCTTCGATCCAACATTGTGTCCAGGCAGCTTCGACTGGCATGTGAACCATGTCCTTCGATTAGTATGAACATCACCTTTCAATTGGCTTGTTAACAAAGCCATCAAGAGGGCACTCAAACATGTCCAGGTACACTGAACATGAGAAAATGGAATTTTCCCTTGCAAATATAGAAATAATTAAATGTTGTTTGTGGATTTAATTCCTGAGTTAAAGGCCAGATTCTTGCCTTTTCTGTTCCTGAAGAGATGATTCGACCAAAGTGACTCTTTTCAAATCAAGCAGTCGAAGCAGAGGAAGTCCATTCGAAGGAGGCAACTTAGGACCAATCGAAGGACAAGGCCTGAAGGCATTCGAAAGTCAGAAGCGTCCAGGTTTATTCAAGGGACACGAATGTTTCAAAAAAGGAAATTATTTAATGTGTCTGATTCTTATCTCATGGCTTTAATGGCCTGTTTAATGGCTGTCTCTTGCCATTACTGCACCCTCACACCCCTATAAATACAGAGGCCTGCATACATATCCAGGACACACGAAAATATACAGAAAAAATAGAGAAAAGAAGCAAGGAGAGCTTGGAGATACGCTGCCAAAAGTCATCAGCACTTCCAGGAAGCCATACCCAATCCTTGCACCAGCCAGAGCTGCCACCCAGCGAACACCTCCACCCTCAGAACTACAAATCGAAGCACCTCTGTTTGGTAAAAAAGGATCTAATCTCAAAAATCATTTTTAAATTCATTTTGATTGCATATTCATATTATTGCTGCTGTTTGTGAATGATTTAATGTGCTACATATAAGCTACAGCGCGGAGATGAGATTGTGCCATTGCTTGGGCACAATCTGAGTTTCTCCTTCGAATCCCAGGATAAAACAAACCCAGACCCAGATTCAGCAGGTGCGAATAAGAGAGAGATTCGAACCAGGGGGAAATCCCCCCTGGACCTTTAACATGTGTTTCGTTTCTTGCAGGAAATACATTCTCAGATTCCTGTTCAGAGTTTCGAAGCTCAGCAGTCTAACTTCGAACTGGACCCAGGATTTCCAGATCGAAGGATGGCATGTCCAGATCGAACACCCTCAGAGTGCAGCCCCTCATGCACCTTCGATCCAGCCTCTTCACTGGGTCGAAAGACAGCTTGCACCTCTTTCGACCCATGCCCCCGGGATTATATTTTTTTCTTGATTTGCTGCCTGACCCGTTTGTACTTTATTTACTTTGTTTTTGTTTATTTCTTTTAGTTTTTTTTTAATCAACATAAAAATCATAAAAATAAATAACTTAGAATTAGGATGTAATTTAGTTAATTATTTTAACTTATTTTCTCCAATTTTTAAAATCAGTAGACTTAGGATTTATTTAAATTCAATCCTTTTCATAAACCAAAAAAATGCAAAAAATATTAGGAATGTTTTAGAACTAATTTTAATCAGTTTTTTTTTAATTAATTGAATTTGACTTAATTGAACATTTAGCATTTTCCCAAAAATAAAATAAAACAACAAAGTTCTTATTCTTAGGATTTTTCAGATTCACGCGCGTTTATTTTATTGTAACAGCTTACCAGGATGTAATAGCTTAAACTAAGACCTTTTTTTTACTGCTTTTATTTCCCCAATTTTTGGACATGTAAATAATCCCCCTCCCCGAAGCCTTGTAATAGCTTAGGATTTACAATTTCTGAACTTTAAATTCCCGTACATATATTAACTGTTTAGATGTATGTTAACTAGGCTATGCATGACAAGATTAACCTCCTAACTTAAAATCAACAGTAGCTCGCCATGACATGCAAAGATAATATAACTGAAAATTGACACACTTGCACATGCCACTCCTAGGGTACACCTCATTTGGTTGCCTCGAACGTGGTCATTAAGTATAGGATGTTTTAGAGGTCGTCCTTTTGTCCCAAGATCATAAGTTGCCTCGAAATGGTTGCCTCGATAAAAATGATCTAAGACATTAGGATTACCACTAAAAGCGTCATAACGTTGCTTTAGTGACCACACGTCCCTAAAATCGAATTGACCTGAAAAACTCCAACGACGGTGCTACCTACTCCTCAATAGTGGGATAGCATTGTCTAAAGGACAGTTGCACAATTTAATTCCTTTTTGAGTAGGTAGATGTTCTTAAAGTACTTGCTCTCTCTTAAACAAAACAAAACTTTTCGCACTTACACTCTTTTCAAAACAACAACCTCTTTTCAAAACCCACAATCACAAAGAAAAGCAAACTTTTGAAAACATAGTGAGTAAGTACCTAAGAGCCCGTGGATAACCACGGATAGAAAGGGTGCTAACACCTTCCTTTTCTATAATCTACCTCCCGAACCCGAGAAACAATCTCGAAAAGGAATTTTTCTGTGCTTTTGTCCTTTCCTTGTTGGATAAAATAAAAGACGGTGGCGACTCTTGCTTACCGCGACACTTTGCAAAAACAAACGCAAACGCGAACCAGCATTCCAAAACAGCCAGTTCTCATTCCCACCGATCACAGAACTGGCGACTCTGCTGGGGACTTATAAAGTGAGGTGTACCTTAGGATTAGATCACTTGTGTTTTCAATTGTATGCTTTGTATGCTTTTAATTTTGTGGGCTTGTATTGGAGTTCTATAGATCCTAACCCGGATCTGGGGTACCCTTTTTAGGTAAGTAGCAATAAACTGTGAGGGATCTGTCCGGCGTAGACTGACACGGATGAAGCAGTAGCTACGTTGGTGTGGCACCTTAGTCTGTACCGATATCCCTTGTGTTGGAACGAGGATAATATGGGTCTTCTAAGGAGTCATTAAGCACCAACTGACCTTAGAACCTTAAATTGACCAACTTGGCCATAGAACAGTAGCAGTATGCTACACTCATTGAGACTAAACTCTTGCGATGATTCCGGCCGCAAGAAAAGGTTGCTAAACTGGAATTATGACCGATTGAGGGTAGTCAGTGATATTGAGATCCTCTAGAACCCGGTTACTATTTTTTAGGACAGGTCTTAACCAACTGAAAATGAAAGAGGGTAGTACCTGAACTTCATGCCAGCCTGAAATCTAAGGGCTCTTTTGTGTGACTTGTATGCCTTTACCATGTTTGCCTTTCGTGAATATTTGTGGTGTGCCTTTACCATGACATCATAACATCATAACATTGCATACATCTTGCATAAGGACTAACCTATTTCAAAGACAAGAGGGTTTCATCTTTGCTCTATTTTGTAGGACATCATGATGCCCATGCGTAGGAATACTATTCGGATCAACTTTGTTAAAGTACCTACTTTGCTTAAAGAGTTTGTTGTCAGGATTCCATACACTACTTCCTTCATCAGGAGGCATGGTTCTCTTCTCAGTTTAGTCACCTCAAAATTGGA